TTAAATAGATAATATTCATTAATTTTATAAGGTATATCTTCAAGTTTTTTATATTAATAAAAAATGTAGCTCATCCATGTAACCGATTGATTCAATTTTGTCAATCCCAGAGCTTACAACTACCTCTTGTGTGCTCACTTCCTGTTTATTTCCCATCGCTAGAGAAATTGATGGCTTCATCCATCTAGAATATAGTTAATCTCCCTTCTGACCCGCAACTCATCACATCTCTGCTCTTTCGGATGAAAAATTTCACAATAACGCTCAACTGTTTCTCAAACAAGCCATTCATTAATTAACTCGCATGTACTTTTTATTTCCCAACTGTTTTTCCTGACATACGAAAATATTTCATCATTGTAATTCATTTATTCTCAGGAAATGAAATCATTGAAATCACTTTCAAACAGTGAGAATATTCCTTGATCCTATTTTAGAGAATACCTTTTCTTTTAATCCTTAATATAATTAATTAACAACAGTAAATACTTGAATATAAAACAGACTATGCCTGCTGTCCAATTGCAAGTTTTGATCACATTAGTAAACGCACGTGCAAATGTAAATACCCACGCTGCAAGCAAATGCAGCGAATAGTGTTTATCTCGGAACCGTTGACAGGTGGCGCGCCGCCGCGTGTCTATTGATTGGCGCCTAACATTCTCCACCCACTACATACAACTCCTTCCAGAATCCCACGTTTACATCGATTTCTGTCTTTTTTAGCTGCTTTTCCCATTATTTATTACTTTTCTCATTTTTTTTTTCATTTTTCACTTAAGCTTGATCAATTATTCGAATATATTCGCAATATGTCATTGATTTTTACTTGAGATTCTCATTAAATGTCAAGTCTAACTCTGAATTCAATTTTTTTATTCTTCATAAAGTCATAATGCATTCATTTTTTATAATATTTAATGAATTTTGCAAATAAAAAAATTTTTTAATGAGTTTACAACATTTATCTATTCATTTAGTGATGATTTTCGGGCTTAACGAAAATGATTTAATGCCCAATTAGCTACATTAGTAATGATAGCTCACTAATTCATAGAATAGCAGCTCAAATAAAGAAATAATTTTACCATTCATCAGATTTATAACGGATGGTTTAAATAATATGTCTTATATTATGCATTTATTATATTCCAGTGTGTTGATGCATTAAAAAAATTGAAATTTTTTTTCGACTCTTGAATAATTACGAAATATAATTATTGTAATCATTTTTACTGCATCAAATATTATTTTTAATGATCCTTAATAGCAGTAATATTATGGGATCAAAAAATCTATAAAAACAATTATGAGAATATATTTCATGTCATCGACATTATTTAGTCAAGTTAAAAATATTAAAATGGATTAAGCTTAAAATTATATAAATTCCAATCGAGTGGTCTTTTTTGATTAACCAGCCCATACAAATTGAAATCTGATAATAATACAAAAACAGAAAAAAAATGAAATGAAGCAGAAGCCTGGTATCCAAACAAAGAGACTTCTATTTTCTTGCACCTATTCGATCTTGTTTTACTTTGTTTAAGCTCTTTGTTCTTGTGCTGATGGTGGTCCTCTTTGTGTGCTTAGACTCGGATACTAGTTCGATCGACTGCACTCACTATGTTGCACGCCTTGCCCTCTAATTTGTGTCTGCTCTCTGTCCAAACCTTTTTACATTCTTCTCATTCACGTGAACTACCATTTTCAGAATAATCGAGGGACATAAACATGTTTCATTGATCACAAGATGTGCAATTACGCTCGATGAAGCTTACACTGAATGGAAAATCGTGAATATATTTTATGCGGTCTGCCATCGATGTGAAGTTGGATAAAAATTTTTTTTTCAAGACAGTTTTTATTCCTCATTTTTATTCTCTTGTGGTTGATGATGACTCTATTCTTCATAGCTTCGATTTGCAGATAGTCAAGATTGATTAACGTAGATTGCTAAAATACTAGAAGAATAGAATGATGCAATTCCACTGGCAGATTGACGTTCATCAATCGTGAAAAGAGGACTGGAGATATTATTCATGATAGCTACTGAACATTCATATTAATTGAGTTGCAGAAAAGAAGAAAAAATAGCCCAAAACTAATGAAAAAAAATTTTAATTCTTTTATTTCTGTTGTTAAAAGATTCGACAATAATAATATTCACATTGATTGACAAAGTGATATTGACTGGAATCTAAATTTCGAAGTTTTTTTCTTGATATAGTAACAAGAATAATGACTAAATACAAACCATCGATTCTCTAAAAACGAATTGACAGTAACTACGTTTCATCCAGCGACAGAGTATATTGCCATTGAAACTGAAAATAACGAATAACGTGAGCAGACATACTCTGTTACACGATGGTGAACGGCGTGTACCTTACAATCGAACTTTCGATGGCTATGTAATTGCATTTTGCTCAAATCTGCAATGGAGATTACATGTTTGGTAGATGTAGATTTCAACACTCTACCTAACACAAAGTGTCGAATGAATGTAATGAAAGTGATAGATATGGTGAAAATGAAAAATCTAAATATTTGAATTCACACCATTCATATCCTTCCTTCCTTCACTATTCTGGATTATAAAATTCTTTATCAAAAGCAACTCATCCTATGTTTACCATGGTTCAAATTAATCTGATGAAACAATGATCAACATATAAATAAACATTAAATGAACTTTTGAAGAAAGATATGCTTTCAATCATCAATATCAGTCATTATTTTTACAGGTTTATAAGATGCTTTCTTCATATTGACTTTTTTTTTAATGATGCAAATTCGAGTGATTAATAAGTATTTAGTAATTAAACATTTAAAGCATGTTAACCTAAGTGTTTGCTTATGAAAGACTTGATGTTTCTTCGACTTGCAGTGAAGTTATGTTCATTTTTTGATGTTTATCATTGTTTCATCAGATTAACTGTTACACTAGAAAACATAAGACAAACCTTTGATGAACAGTTTCCCTTTACTCAGTTATTATTTATGATTATCAAAAGTTTTTTCTATTTTATAATTGTAAATTAGAAAAATTATGAACTGCTTATTACTTTCACATCATCACATATCTGTAAAATTATAATTTAACTCTCTAACAATTTGTTATTTATTATTTAGCTCCAGTAAATATTGAAGTGAATAAATAACAGTTGTACAACTTCTTCACATCTGTACATATCTCAAGTAGCCCTTAAGGACAAGGGTGGTCCGTTTACATAAGTGTTCAGATGATAAAATAATAATGGTCGCTATTTGTTAGCATTTTGTTTTTAACTCTTGCAATTTCCTCTAGTGCATAAATTGTGAGAATATCTTCTAGTACATAATCTTATGTATGATAATATATTGGTCTCATAAGGGGTCGTATGATGCTTTAAGGAATGACGTTTATATATGTTTTATGTACGGAAATATATGAAAACATAACGATATATCATATATTACTTATATTACATCCATCTAGGAAATTTTTACTGACTTTTTACTTTAATTTAGTTTTATCTTCAATAAAAACATTGATGTCATGATACATATTTTTTTAAAGTTTTAATGAGAAAACAAAGCAAAAAAAAGGATATAACAGTTAATGATGTTGTTTAATATAAAATCAAAAAAGGAAGAAAAAAGAGCTTATCTATAATAAATGATGAAATTCTAATGAAAGTTTAAAAAAATAACCAGACAAAAATGGTTGTCTTTGTTCTTTCTTCTTGAACTGGCCATTATTTCCATTCGAAAGACGATCATGAAATATTGAATAATGAAGTTGGGTAACTCCCCTTTGAACTTTCAAATACTCATGAAGGGGTTGCAAGTACACAAGAGAAATGGAAAACTGAAGAGTGAAAGGGCAAAGGCGTGGAAGGATCGAGCTCTCTCTTGTCGACTAGTCAGTTCATTAGAGAATATCAGCTTACACTGTCATTTCTCTTTCCTTCACATCCTGCTATCTTCTCGAGTAATCTTTCGTCTACCTGGGATTCCATTTTCCATGCCAGAGAAAATTATTTGCACCCAAGTCAATGGGTATACTTTGCAGACTTTTGCACTAATTTTGTTATCATTAATGTCTTCGATATCCAACGTTTATTGAGTGAAGATTTTAATTCGCTTTGTGGAATCTTTAACGATGAGTTAAATATTCTTTGTCTACCTTTGTTAGTGATAATGAATATTGATTGAAATATACAGTTTTGCTCGAGACTGAAAATCGTTAATTATTTTAATAGATTTTAGTACATCAAACGAATTTTCGCTTATTGATGAGTCTTCTTCTTTATGTAAATGATAGCTTCGAAGTTTCATACACATTGAAGTAATATTCTCTAACAAAATAATCTTCTATTTGACTCATATTTACTCATTAATTATTTGTATTTAATTTTTTTACAATAAGTCAGATCAAAATTATTAAAGAAAAAAAAAATAATTACTCTTGATAGAAAGCTCTATTAATTAAAGAATTCATTTTCGGATACTTTAATTTTAGAACTTAAAAAAAGTTGTCAAGTATTTGGTGTTTATCCCACTAATTGGAACTAATTGGATGAATTATCGGAGGTAAAGAAATAAATCATAACTAGATCGTTGTCTATCTGACTTATAACACTGATCCATACTAATTGATGCAATGAAATTGATGGATTTAATTTAGATACAAGGATCAACATTTATAATAACATTGATGTTATCTTGCTCTTTAATCAAATGTGTCTATTCTTAGTAATGAACTGTAGTTGTCAACATGACTGTTAAGTCGGATTAACATGGATTCAGAGCAGCTAATTGTGATTCTGTGTCACTGATTATTGATGTCAGATAATAGTAGGGTTCCAAAATCAGGTAAATCTAACAGTAAGAGTGATTAAGATAAATCAGTTTGTGCAATTGGATGTTATTTAGTTCATTTAATCAACTAATTTTTAGTATTATCAAAGAATACATGTTCAAAAAAAAATATATGTTGTTTTTTCATTTTACAGGGGCAATTTTTGAACAAGGAACAGATGAAGTTCAATCAGCATTCAAGTTTGCACTGGCTGTCCATAATCAGAATAATACAACCCGCCGCTTTGATCTTCAAGCTTATGTGGATGTTATTAATACTGCTGATGCATTTAAGCTTTCACGATTGAGTAAGTCAAAAAGTCTATACATAAAAAATTTTTTTTATATATATATTATTTTTCAATTTTATTAAATCTTTCTATTCTATTGTTTGATTTGTGGATTGAACAGAAATTTGTAAAACAAAATTCACTAAAAAAATATCAGAGGTACGATTCAATATTCCTCATTCAATTATTTTTGATTCTGTTTTTAAATAAAAAATAATTCAAAACTTTTGTAAAGGTTTCAAAGTAGAATGGATTAGAATTTTGTTGATTATTGGTTTGAAATATTATATTTATTCCAAAAATTCTCCATGAAATTCATATTATAGAAAATTCCATTGACACATTTCTTCTTTACTCCTTCACTGGTAGTGTCTTTGAAACAAAAACATAGAAGTCGAACTCAATGGTTCGCCTAATGTCGGCTGCGAGGACAGATCTGCTCCATTGAATTGGACAGCTAGACAAGAAAAACAGACTTGGTGACAGTCGGCTATTGACACTACTACTGTGATAAAATGGTGAAAAAAGAAGTGTACTCTGAGTAGAAAGAAAGAGATATTGTATCAAATCAAGTGAATTTTCTGCAACTAGATGGGAAATGTCCAGTGACTGTTTGTAGTATATTAATACCTCTTGGCAGTTTTCACCTCGAGTAATATGTCTGTGACATCAGTCCAATATATTCATTATTCTCATTCATAGTGAAATGAAAAATCATTTAATCTTCATTTCTACTTTTTAATGATATAATAACAATCGAAACCCACATCTTTTTTGCATTGTTTAAATGATATATTATTTGTCCAAAAAAATCCTGTTGAAATTACAAAGAATCCTCCAAATCCTCTTCAATCCTCTTTCAAATCTTCACTAAATCTCTCTCAAATGTGCAAATCTTCTTTAAATTTGCGAATTCTTTTTCAACTTTCTCACAAATTTAAAAATTATTAAATCTCTGAACAACTAAAGAGAGCATTCAGATAAACTAGTTCAAACTATTTTTATGAAACACCAAAAATATTTATAGATTTATGAATAACATGATAAACCTGTTAGCACATCCAGCTTGTAAATCCTGCTGATATAAATACGGTTGTTCCAATATTGCAATTCATGTAAATCTAATTTTTTTCGAATAAACAAAAGTATTTATACTTATTTTATGATTCTATCACTGATTCAGATGGTTACACTCTACTTTCCTAATAAAAAATAATAATCATAGATCAAGATGAATTATAAATTAGCACAAATGCATGATCACATTTAAGTTAGGAAGATAAATAGAAATCATGATATTCAACAATAAATAATATATAAATTGTACTCTCTGTAACAATAGTATTGTAGTTTCATAGTCAGTCTATAGCTTGAACTAAACCACGAAACCGCGTAAGCAAAGAATCATCAGACAAAAAAGTTGAGAGTGGATTGTATTTCACAGAGAGTTTGACTTTATCGCGTTTGTCTTCGTCGCTGGTGCACTTAAGAAATTAGACACCTTCCTCGTTACCCTCTTCCATCTTTTCTTTCGATCCTTTACAACCGTCTTCTATCGCTACTGGATACGACTTTGTGAGCGCTCAAGTGCTCCGTGATGAAAGAAAAATCGTTTCAAAATCTATTAGCTTTTCTATGTATTTTATCTCTAACGAAAATGTAATGAGAATGAAACCTTTCTTTTCTATTGTATTTAAGAGATGATGATTTGATTATTTATTATTCTATTTCTAGATTTTTTTCTTCGTTATTATTGATGGTAAGATCTTTAAGCAAAAAACATTAGAGATGACTTTTGTATGAAATATCAAAAGAATTTATATTTTCATTCAACTTAATAATTTCTTTGATAAATAAAGTTTTTTCCAAAGCTATAACTGGTCTCTCGATATTGAAGTGACTTATTATAAGTTTTCTAATGATATTACAACTCAATTTACTCGCGGAAGCTTTGCGAAAAATCTTGAAAAAAGTTTCAAATAAAAAGGGAAACGGAAGGATAAAGAATAAAGAATGCTGCAGAAGGAAAGAGAGTGACAGGTAACGGTTTAGCTCTTGCCGCGTTCAGCAATCTAATTCCCAAGTTTCCAACACCACTACTCAAGGCTCATTGGTACTACGAGTGCTTTCAACGACCGGATGACACGCGCGACACCCGTTTACAATAATAATAGAAGAGAAGCATAGTTTTGAATAGGCTCTCAACTAAAGGAAGAGAAGATTGTCCGTTTTAAGGAATGACATTCGGAAATGACACGTCACTTGGCGTCTTTTCATTCTCATCCTTATTTCCATTTCGACCTTCAACGAATTGCATCACTTTGATCAAAGTAAATGCGTACTTTTCTAGGTATGCTTTTGTCTGGAGATAAATCAACTTTATTTTTTTTTAAACTCATTTCAACTCATTTTTTCGTAGTTTTGAATAATGACGGCTTCGTAATTATGTGAATTTTTCAAGTATTTATTCTATCTTTCATTTTGCTGGGAAAATCAAAGTAAATAATGAGACGCATTAAAGAGAGATTAAATGGTAATTAATCTAGAATAAAAATTTTGCTTCACTATGTATTATTACATTGCTTGAATATTTTTTCTCACTTGAAAATATTTAAAAAGTACTTTTTATCGTAGAGTGCAGAGTAGAATAAAATTAATGTTATCATTAAATTCAATGGAGTAAGAAATAAGAATATAAATATGTTTGATAAAAAGAGAATAAAAAAATGACAAAAGTTTTGAATAATAGGAGTTTATTGAAAACAAGCATCGGAAAAATATTATTTTTCAAGATGACATGAGGATCCCTAGAAGTCCCGTGAGCTTTTACAGACATCTCCTCTACCTATAACCTTGGATGGATATAAACACGAGGTCTTAAGAGACTTGGAACGATCGTAAGAATTTTCAATGGAATAACACCGGAAGGAGGAGAGTAAAGCGTAAATATCTCCAAAATACTTGCTCATAAATCCAAGGAATTTTGATATTTTCATTTTCCTTCACTTTATCGATGTCACCATATTTATTAAAAGCTATAAAATTTATCTTTAAGTAGCAACAATTGTTCTTTTTATTGGGTTATAAAAATTTCAATTTTTGGATGAAAAATATTAAAAATATGTTATTCATTCTAGGAAATACTATTGAAAATATTTCAATAATTATTGCCGAATATCCAAGTTTTCCTTTGCTTTATTTTTCAGTAAATAATCTATATCTTCAAATAAATAAACGTTTATTAATTACTGATGATTTTTTTTATTGATAAATTCTGTAGTTTATCAATCTTTTATTAAATATATTGAGGAAAGAAAATACTTTTTATTGAAATGACTTTCAGAAAAATAAAATAAAAATTATCATTTTCTTTTCATTATTCGCCTTTCAAAAGAAGTTCTTTTTATTAAGGATTTGAATTATCATTGACTGCTATAGAAGCAAAGCAGAATAAACAATTCGGTTTTGTTAGTAGGATATTCTATCAATGAAAACGATTCTTTGATCCTACTTGTTTCGTTATTAAGGTTTCTACTGCTCAACAAAAAAAAAATACCGGTATTTGATTCTTTGTGCGGAAATGATAAAATTTATTTAGTAGAAATGTCAAAAAGCTCTCTAAGAATGGTAGTATTTACTAATATTAAAGGCAGAGAAACGTTGAAAAGAAGGGATGAAAATGTCAGTCGTTGAAGAGTACGAGTGAGAGGATCAAGTAGGATCGATATATAGTCGATATGTAATTGCTTGGAGTAATATAGAAGAGACTTCTTGCTCTTTCATGCGGTCTCGCACCTTCGGGCGTCGGATAAACCGGCGGGAATTGAACCTCAAGATTCATCTCGCGTCTGCTTTCTGGCTTGGGTGAGGTAGCATGGGTGAGGAAGTGCGGGTTGGAAGGAAGGGAAATACCCTGGGGAGCCCTCAGCAGATTTATGCCACCCCTGGCTGGCAACGCTCTCCCCATATACATTCAACTATTTTCCCTCTTCTTCTCTCCGGCTTAGGCATCCTCCAACCCAAGGATCCCACCAGGATATTATACGATATGCTCTGAAAGGTGATAGATGGCTATAATGTTCCGCTAAGATGTCGACGAACTGACGCTACCCGCACTTCTCTACTAGATCTTTTTCACGGTCTATTTTTTGACTTAACATCATTTTAGCATAAAAATTCGCAAATGAAAAATACTCCTTGATAAACTATCGTTATTTTTACTTTCATTATTATCTGTTTTAATTATTGCTCTTTTTATTGAAACAAATATAACTGTTTACTTAGTTTCTTTGTTTTTATTTAGAAGATATCCAAACATTATTCGATATGTAGAGTATTTTTTATAGTTTTAACTTCAACTTTATTTTATTTAAAATTTTATCATGCCACTCAGAAATTATAAATGAATATCATAAAAAATATATTGGATAAAAAAGAGAAAATTTTTATTGACTTTTTAAAGAGAGACTATCAATATTTTCATTACAAATACAAAAAATGTTTTACTACAATTATGAAATATTTTTAACTTTATATATATTTATATTTATCATGAGTAAATAAATATAAAAAAAAAATTGTTCCATCAATTTTGATGTAGAAACTTAATAAAATATTTAATTAAAAGCAAGCCATGAATATTCTCGATGAAATATAGCCTCGGGTAAATCGTAGTAGGAAGAAAGCTTGTAAATTGAATCCCTCTGTAATTCCACGCGCGTTCTCCTCAAGTCAGAATCAGAGATCGAACGGTGGCAGACGATGAGCGGAAAAAAGAAAAGTGAAAAGACAGAAGGAGAAGAAGGGACGCTCTTCTTGTCAGATTCAGCATAATTGCCTTCGACACATTTCTGTTAGCACTTGAGTACATTTTAGGGCTGTAATAGATTTCACTTGTACACGACTTGGCGCCAGATTATAATAACGAGCAGCGTCGAAATAGAGAGGCCTCAAATTCTATCATAAACCAACGAGCATTAATACAATTAGCGAAGCTTTGCTAAGTGCTGTAATGTGTA